GTCTGGCAGGCCACATCTGATTGGACGATAGAAAAATGGGCGTATCTGGAGGGCCACATCTGATTGGACGATAGAAAAATGGGCGTATCTGGGGGGCCACATCTGATTCGACGACAGAAAAATGGGCGTGTCTGGCGGCCACATCTGATTGGACAAAACAATAAATGCTGAATGAAAAAAAGCCGTTTGTGTTAACTACAGACATGTTATGTCTATGGTGTTAACCGGTTCGACATTAGCGGCGTCTCAGGTTCGACATTAGCGGCGTCTCCATAACTTCTCTCCATAACTTCGCAGAATTTCATTTTAGTGTTTATGGAGGATTCTTCGTTTTTGGTTTCAGGGTGAGCTGGAGGCTCTGGAGAGCTCGTTGGAGTTGGAGCAGGACAACCTGAGAGAGCAGAAGCAGCAGCAGGAACGGATGGCGAACACGGTCACCGGGCAGATGTACCTGGAAAGCCAGGTGAGCTGAAGAAGCATCGTATTCTGGCTGTTTGCTGTGATGTTCTGTGTCTGAGCAGCGTTGTGTTGCGTTCAAGCCACACAGCGCTGATGTTAAATTCACAGTGACGACGTCTGAATGTTTGTAATGTTTACAGAAACATCAACAGATCTGCTCTGTCACGTTTGACAGCATGCTGTTTGACATTGCTGTCAGGGGCACCACCAAGGGGGGCCAGGCGGGGCAATGGCCCTGGCTATTTAGGATTAGGAGAACCTCCTAAACATAAAAAGAAACATTGTTTTTGAGCAGCTAGGACTTAAAATATAAAAATATATATACAGTAGTCCCTCTCTACTTCACGGTTCATTTTTCGCGGACTCGCTCTATCGCAGTTTTTCAAAATTAGATTGGACATGACACACAAGGGGCTGATTGATGGATGAGACGCACGATCGACATGACATTTTTATTTAAAATAAATTATTTAAAATTATTTAGCACCTGCTGCATCTTTGTGCAGCCCACACTGCAGCAGAAACTTCCTGCTGCAGCTGATCAGCTGTTCACCATGCACAGCGGACAAGTGGGCGTGGCCAAGAGGGCTTGCAGGTGGCAAAGAGCAGAGGAGGCAGGGAGCTGAAATCATGACATTATGTGCTCTTTTAGAGCGTTTAGAATATTGCAAGAGTGTGGGAAGGGTTTAAAATGCCTTTATATATATTATATTTTTATGCTACTAGTGCTTAGTGTATATTTAGTTGATGTTTTTCTTAGTTCATATCTTAGAACTTATTACTGTTTTTTTTTTTACTACTCACTACTTGTTCTACTATTCCTACTTGCTGGATTTTCACTTATCTCGGGTCTTCAGGGTACGGATCCCCCGCGATAAATGAGGGACTACTGTATATTTTTTTTATTTCAAGTTAAAAATAAAAATTTCACCTTTAGTCCCTCTGAATAATTGCGTCTGGTCTAAAACCAATGACCTCATCATCACGATGCAGAGTCCCAGCAGGTGATATTCACAATGTTTCATATAAATATATATTTAGCAGAAGACAAGCTTCAATAGTTGAGTAGTGACAGAGCTTTCCCCCAATAACTAATGTCAAATAAAAATAAAGTAGACCAATGAAGGAGATTCCCTGACTCCTATAATTCGGGTTATAATGGCGTGAACACAAATTCAGCATTAACCCTATTGTTTTCTAGGTTTTGTCATGTAGCTACTTTTTAGCATTTTGTTTTTTTTATCCGTTCATCTGCCAAAACATTCAGCTTATTCAGAAGATGGGTGCTACAACTTTTTCATTTTTGTAACTTTTATACTTTTCAAATATACCTTTTATTTACAAATATTTTCCCCATAGAAACACAGATCTCTTCGATTCCTTCAGAAACATTGTTGTCTTGGACATCTGCTTCAGCGTACTAGCTCTATTTTTGTCTTCTTACGCTATGTTAGCTTTTAGCTAACCTTTTGCTACTTTTAACTTCTAGCTAACATTCTACTTTTTTTTTCTTTTAACTAGTGTTTTGCTACTTTAACTAGCTTTTTGGTCATTTAAACTTATAAATAACAATCTGCTTCTTTTGGCTTCTAGCTATCGTTTTTTTTTTTTTTTTAGCTAGCCTTTTGCTTTTTAGCTAGCCTTTTCCTACTTGTACCTTTTAGCTTTTAGTCCATATTGTTGTATTTATCAAAAAAACAATATTTGACAACAACAAAACAAATCTTCTGAAATTATGTTCTGACTTTTTCTTTTGATGTGCCACCCCAGGATTTTCAGTGGCCCCTTATGGCCCCCCAGTTAGCACTTTTCTGGATGCACCCCTGGTGGCTGTATATTCATCTGCATACAGTGCAGGTTATTAACATCCAATCACAAAATGTTTGGGGTTACGCCATTTGCCACCAAGAGTGAACTGAGGTGTCAGAGCTGCTGCAGTCGAAGCACCAGAAACAGATTTGTTTGCTCTGGGTCTGTTCATCGTAACAACTTTGTGCACAAACTGAAGCGAGTCTGTTTCCTCTGTCATAAAATCAACACTATGAAGTGATCTCGTCAAAGTGTGAACTTTTTTAATCCTATCAGCTGCTTTGATAATGAGCTGCTAAGAGCCAGGGCATTTCTCACATAACAGAAACACTCACCGTCCCTGGAGGGAAAAGAGCTGCAAACTTAAGAGCCGGGTCATAAAAAAACATCAGGTGATATTAAAATACAAAACCGTAACGATGTAACGTTGGCGTGACCCAGCTCTGGTGTGTGTAGGCTTCCATGTGTTTTATTTATTTATTTGAGAGTAACACGTTTGTGAAACCAGGAGATGCTGCGACTGTTCGGCGTGCCGTTCTTGGTGGCTCCCATGGAGGCCGAGGCTCAGTGCGCGGAGCTGGACCGGGCCGACCAGACGCACGGGACCATCACAGACGACTCCGATGTGTGGCTGTTCGGAGGGAGACATGTTTACAAGAACTTCTTCAGCCAGAACAAATACGTGGAGCACTACCAGTACAGCGACCTGCAGAACCAGCTGGGTCAGTGGCTGCAGCAGCTAAAAAGCACATTTATTCAAAACTCTTCGGTTTGTGGCTTTACTCGGAGCTGTAAGAGAATAAAAGTATTTTTCACAGACTTTTTGTTTTCATAGTCTGCAGAGAAACACTTTAATAAAAATGTAAAATCATCACGGTTCAGTCACAGCCGTTTTATCATGGATACAAAATAACAGCAGACACGATCTTTTTATGCTCTCTCTTTTTCTGTTAACCCTCTCTTGTCATTTTTCTCTGTCAGGTCTGGACAGAACCAAAATGATAAATCTGGCCTACCTGCTCGGGAGCGACTACACGGAGGGCGTGCCTGGAGTTGGGTACGTGACGGGCATGGAGATCCTGAACGAGTTTCCAGGTCCAGCTTTGGAGCCACTGGTCCAGTTCAGGTGTGTGGTTTGATTTTTCCAGGAGTCAATGAAGAACCGTGAAAATCTTTCTTCAGTTTTAAAATAACTTTAAATAATCCGTCTCAGAAACGGTTTCACTGCCTTAAACTGTCTGTAAATGAATTATTCGGTGTGAAGGAGCTGAAATTAAGTTGTTAAAGCTAAAAAAAGCAGAACACGCCAAAGGTATAAGGAACAAAACACCAGCTAAAAGTTAAAAATGAGCAAAACACCAAGATGAAAATAAAAACATATAAAATAACAGAATATTAGTTCAGTGTTAAAATAGCAAAACAACCAGCTTAAAGCTAAAGGAGCAGAATGCAAGTTAAAAGTTGCAGAAGGCTAGTTAGAAGCTAAAAGCAGCAAAACATTAGCTAAAAGTGTCAAAAGGTTAGCTAAAATATCCCAAGTAGGAAAAGGCTATACAGAAGCAACCAAAGAAGCAAAAGGGTAGCTAAAAGTTAAAAGTAGCAAAAAGCTAGTTAAAGTTGAAAACACCAGCTAAAAGTTAAAGGTGAAGAATGGTAGCTAAAAGTTGCATAAAGTTATCTATAAGATAAAAGGAGCAAAAAGTCGGCTAAAAAAGGCAAAGGGCTAGCGAAGGTAAAAGCAGCCAAACTAATCTGGCGAAAAGTTAAAGTAGCAAAATCCTTGTTGAAGTAGCAAATCATCAGCTAAAAGAAGCAGAATGCTAACTTAAAACTAAAAATGGCAGAAGGCTAGCTTGATGCTAAAAGTTAGCGAAAGGCTACCTTAAAGCGAAACATAACGTAAGACGACAAACGTAGAGCCGATGCTCTGAAGCAAATTATAAAAAGAACCATGTTTCTGAAGGAATCTCAGCGTGATTCTTTGGGAAAAATGTTTGTAAATACAGGTACCGTATTTTCCGCCGTACACGTCGCACCACCCTATAAGTCGCATCAGTCCAAATATGTCTAATAAAGTGGAAAAAATCCATAAATACATCACGTTGCCGTATAAGTCACATCTATTATGCGTCACCGCTGACAGCCCAGAAATGTGGGCTGGTGTTGTGCCAAAAATCGACGTGATGCCAAATGGCGGCCGCAGGAGTGTGCACGGGAGGACTTTAAGAAGAGTTTAACAAGACTTAACACTTTAAAACAATTATTTGTTTGCTCGAAATTATAGTAAAGGTGTGTCTCCGTTGAACTTTTCCTTAATAAATGCACTTTGACGTCAAATCAGCTGCATTTCAAAACCCGATTGGCGGAAGTGGGCACACGCGGAGTGACAAGCCTCTATGCATTTCTTCAAAATTTAACAAGATAAACACCTAAAAACAATTATTTGTTTGCTCGACTTTATAGTAAAGGTGTGTCTCAATTGAACTTTTCCTTAATAAATGCACTTTGACGTCAAATCAGCTGCATTTCGCAGGGGCAGCGCAGCGAAATGAAGCTGATTTGACGGTTGCTCCATGCAGACGATAGTGGCAATCTATGTCAAGCCGACTGTGTCATTAATAGCCACTTTTACCTATTACACGATACAAAGGCATGCCATACCACTCAAGTGCCATCTAGCAGCTGAAAATGGTAGTGTTCAATATTTTTCAGTCAGAATGAATGAAAACAGTTATCTCAGCCAAAAATTGGTTATAAATATGTGAAAAAATCCATAAATACGTCGCTTTGGCGTATAAGTTTCAGGGCATGCAAATTATGCAAAAAAATGTGACTTGTACAGCGAGAAATACGGTAAATATTTTGAAACGTATGAAAGTTACAAAAGCCAACATTGAACCTCTTGATGTTGATTGTATCTGTTTATAAAAGCTTACATAAAATCAGGTTTTGTTTCCTGCAGTAAGTGGTGGTCGGAGGCTCAGGAGAACAAGCGGCTGGTGGCTGACCCCCGAGACACAAAGGTCAAGAAGAAGCTGAGGGATCTGAAGGTCCAGTCCGGCTTCCCAAACCCCGCTGTCGCTCAGGCTTACCTGGAGCCTGTTGTGGATCAGTCGGACAGCTCGTTCAGCTGGGGGCGCCCACAACTCGACATGATTAAAGAATATCCTGTTTCTGTTCGTGGATGTCTCAGCTTCTGTGTGTTCGTGAATTCGGAAACGGTTGAACTTTTCTTTAACTACTTTCTCACGTTCTGCCTGAGTCGCTTTGGCTGGAGCAGCCGAAAGACGGAGGAGACCCTTCAGCCTGTGATCAAACAACTGAACACCCAGCAGGTGAAGAAGAGACTCATGGTTCAAGGGTCATAAAAGAGTAAAACTTTCATTTAATCTGTTATTTGTTCATTTATTTTAGACCCAGTTACGAATAGACTCATTCTTCCGCATGGAGCAGCAGGAAAAGCAGACGATCCAGAGCCAGAGACTCCGCCGAGCCGTCACCTGCTTAAAGAGAAAGGAGAGAAGAGGAGGAGAGGACGAAGGCAGCGAGGAGGAAATCCAATCCCCGCCCAAGTTCAAGAAAAGGACCGCGACGAGCACAGAGGGGCAGAAGGAAGACGACAGGTCGGCGGCAGGTGGAGGGTTCCTCGGTTCTGAGCTCGTCGATGAATCTCCTCTTCTGCCTCTGAAGGACGTCTGCGGTTCTGGTCCTGAGTCCGTTTCTGCAAAGACCAAGACTCCACCTGAGAAGATCAGGAGGGACTGCAGCAGCAGTAGCTCCAGTGAAGATGATGATGATGAAAAGAAGGTTGCCATGGTTACGGCCCGACCCGTTTTCGAAGGCGGCAAACGAGGTCGAGGAGGAAAACGAACAAGAGGAAAAAGAAACATGAGAGGAAAGAAAAATTAAGGACCTGAAAGATGCTGTGAATTATATGATTACGCATGAAACGCGTCATATTCCTAAATGTCTGATGTCATATTCAATATTTATGGAAATATTTCATCAACTGAGGCTGTTCTGAAATACAGATCATGTATTTTTGTAACTGATGCTACACAGAGTAGTTTTTTTCTGTTTGTTTAAAGGTGTGTGTGACAACAAAACACGTGTCTTTATTCTGCAATAAAAGTTTTATTAATACTTTTTAAAGGCTTTGCTGTCGTTTGTTGCATAAACATAAATCATGCAGGTCTTCTGTACGTCTTTACCTTCATACACTGATCAGACAAACAGGCGTTTTATAAAAAATATATATATACCATTTATAGTTAAAACATCAAAAATTATTCTTTTATAGAGAAATTTGTTTGCAAAGCAGCAGCATGAAAGCTGACGGATGACGCTAATCAAAAAAGCAGAACACTAGCAAATGGTAGCTAAATGCTAGCTAAAATTAGGAAAAAGCTAATTAAAAGGTAAAGGTTGCAAAAGATTAAGTAAAACCATAAAAAGGTAACCTAAATATGTGAAAGATTAGTTAAAAATGTAGCTAAAAGTAGAAAAAGCTAGCTAAAATTGAAACAAAAGCATGTTGATAGATCAAAACAATTTTGGAGCAAGTGTACTGAAAGGACAGCTAAAAAGCAAAAGGCTGGAAAATAAAAACTAACTTAAAGCTAACAGTAGCACAAGAATACACAAAAAGAGCATGAATGCTGAAACATATTTCAATTAAATCAATGTTTGTTAGGAAATTATAGAGATTTCCATGTGTCTTATTTGCAAACTGGGGAAAACATTTGTAAATAAAATTAAGATATTTTGCAAAGTATAAAAGTTACTAAAGCCAAAAGTTGTAGCACTGATCTGAATGAGCTGAACGTTCACGGTAGATATGTGGAGAGTTAAAAAGCAGATAGATGGCAAAAAAACATTGAGAAAAACAAAAATCAGAATTCAGACAAACAGCAAGGCAACCTTTGAATATAAAAAGTCTTAATGTTTCTGCACTGTATTCTTGCTTCTTATTCTTTTAAATTCTGTCTCCAGTAAATAGAGCCCTCCTCCCCCTGTTTCCAGCTGAAGTTTAGCCTCGAGGCAGAGCAGCTGTTGGTGTCTGTCAGATTTACTGCTTCAAGCACCGAAGCTGGAAATATGTCCGGGATCTGAGGCTCGGCGTGGGATTGTTGGACGAGAAGTTGGGAAACAAAGTGTTTGTGTGTAACTGGAAGCCACAGAGGGTCCCTGTAAGAGATCTGGATCCACACTGACCCAGATCTGAAGGGCTTCACTCTGGACCTTAAAGTTTAAACTGCAGTTGGCTGAGAGAACGTGATCGTCCAGTTTGGGCCCTGATCTCGTTCAGACATGGAGACTCAACAAACTAAGGCCATAGAGGACTCAAAGACCAACCAAGAAGGTAAGAATTTGGACTTCTGGTCAATAAAACCTCTGGTTAATGATAGTTTGAGCATAATAGCATCATACGTGAATAAATCCTTAAGGTATTGACAACAATGAACTGCTGTTACAGATACAAACAGCAGAGACAGAGAAGTTAGGGTCAACCTTTGCATTGTATCTCGATGGGCTTTCCTGACCTTTTACAAAACCAGCCTCCTGTAACCAAAGCTGTGGGTTTTTAATAGCTGTCATCACTGAGAGGAGCGAAGCTGCGAGCAGAAACGCTGAGCTCAGCAAGTCATAACCCTGAATGTTAATCCTGGAGCAGAGCATCAATTCTTACCTGTGATGGAGTGTTTGAGAGACATTTTAATTAAGTAAACAATTACTGTTGTTACAAGTTCTGATATTCTGTTTGGCTGTTTTTTGTTGCAACACTCATTTGTTGCCTTTTCAACCTCTTTTTGCACTTAATTCAGGCAGCAGAGACACATATTACATTTAGTTAGACAAACGTGTGGGTTTTCTCCTGGTACAGTACTCGGGTTTCCTCCCACAGACTAACAACATGCATGTTATGCCCCTTTTCCATTAGTACCGGTACGTACCGGTACTAATGGAAAAGGGGCATTAGACTGATTGGTAACTCTAAACTGTCCCTGGGTGTGAGTGAGAGAGAGAGAATGCTTGTTTGTCTCGTTTGTCTCTATGTGTCCCTGCGATGGACTGGAGACCTGTCCAGGGTGTCCCCCGCCTCTCGCACAGTGATTGCTGGATATGGGCACCAGTGACTCCTGTGAACCGAAAAGAAGAAGCAGGTAAAGATAATGGATGGATGGATGTTTCACATACTGCAACACTAAAAAAATGTTAACCTGCATCAAACAGGAAGTTGCTCAGAGTCCCGAAAGTCTGAACAGGATGTGACAAATCTAAAAAAGTTAAATCTGGTCCTCTGGACATTCAAAAAAAAAAAAAAAGCAAATCAACA